GAGCCACCCTGGCCAGGGTACACGATCCGTCTTGCTCTAGAGCTGTTTTGGGGGGCTGTCCCGGGCAGAGCCAGAGGGGGCGTGGGAGGGGAGGTGGTGCGATGCCAGGTGGTTGTGCGTGAGTTCGACTCCCTGACTCCTCCCCGGGGAGGAGGTCTGTGCTTGTCACCGCTGTGTTTCTCGGCCTGCGGACTGAAAGGTCCCGGGTTCGATTCCCGGTCTAGGGCACATGGACCTTGGTTGCGGGCTCATCCCTAGTAGGGATGTGTGCAGGAGGCAGCTGGTCGATGTTTCTCTCTGATCGATGTTTGTAACTCTCTCTCCCTCTCTCCCTTCCTCTCTGTAAAAAAAATCAATAAAATACATTAAAAAAAAAAAAAGCCACAAATGAGTGCACCAGTAAGTGGAACAGCACATCGCTGTTCCTCTCCCTCTCCTTTCATCTCACTTCACAACCAGGAAGTAAAAAAAAAAAAAAAAAAAAATTAAAATCCTATATAATAAAAGGCTAATATGCAAATTGTCCCCTTGGCCAGGAGTCCCTCCGGAAGTTCGGCTCTGGAGTTTGACCAGGGGGCGGGGCCAGCCTGCCAACCACCAAGGCCCTTCCCCTGGCCGGTCCCACCCCTGATATGCCCTCCCTCTGTCCCTTCCCCTCCCCCTCCCCCGCCTCGCACACACGTCCCTGATCAGGGTGGACCCACCCGACCCCGCCCATGCATGAATCCATGCCCTGGGCCTCTAGTTTGGATGGGACGGGCTCCGTGAGGGCAGAGGCCGACCTTGTCAGGGGAGACGCCGGCCTCGGAGGGGACCCCCACACCACCCCTGCTTCTCGTTCAAGTTTAATTTAATTTTTAAAATATATTTTATGATTTTTACGGAGAGGGATAGAGAGTCAGAAACATCGATGAGAGAGAGGCAGCCATTGGCTGCCTCCTGCACGCTCCCCACTGGGGATGTGCCCGCAACCAAGGCACATGCCCTTGACCGGAATCGAACCCGGGACCCTTCCGTCCGCAGGCCGGCGCTCTATCCACTGAGCCACACCAGCCAGGGCTCACGTTCAGCTTCAGACCGTCCTGTGGGGGGACTGAGTCAGGTCTCTGAGTCTGCGAGGCCTCCCCTGGGCTGTCAGCTCAGCACGGGGCCCCTTGCGTCTGCACCCTACCTCCTGGTTGCCAGGTCGACGCTCAGCCCCAGAGCCTCGCCAGCCGGCCCCCTGATATTTTTGGGGGGTTTCTTTTCTCCGAATCCCAGGATCTGAGCGGGAGGAGGCAGGAACAGATCTCACCCATGTCAGTCCTCCCACAAGCCCAGCCCTGAGGCACGGGCGTTGCAAAGTCTCTCATTGTCCCAGGTTTTCTATGGCGGACACACATGCACACGCACACGCACACGCACACACACACAGGCACCTCTTCCATTTGCATTTTCTTTTTTTAAATATATTTTATTGATCTTGTACAGAGAGGAAGGGAGAGGGATAGAGAGCTAGAAATATCGATGAGAGAGAGTCATCGATCAGCTGCCTCTTGCACACCCTGTACTGGGGATGTGCCCGCAACCAAGGCACATGCCCTTGACCGGAATCGAACCTGGGACCCTTCAGTCCCCAAGCCGAGGCTCTATCCATTGAGCCAAACCGGTCCCGGCCCCATTTGCATTTGAAAGGCGACTTGGGTTGCCCTTGGAGAGCCTGGTCCCCACCCCCTCCGCTGGAATTCCGAGTTTTTGTCTCAAGGGCTGTCTGAAGGAGACACCGGCGAACCCTGCACGCCCTCTCGCACACCCTCGGACAGGGAGGGAGGGAAGGAATTTCCAGCGAGGTGGCCCCGGAATGCCTTTGGGGGTGCCCCCCCCCCCCCCCCCGGCTCTGAGGACCCCACCCTGTGTCCCCCAAGGCTGATAAGGTGCAGGTGGTGGAGGATGAGTCCATGCAGCCCTGGGGGAGAAACCTCCGGGGGCACCAGGGTTTGGATCCCCCGCCCTTGCTGTTGCCCCGTGCCTCAGTTTACCCTTCTGTAACCCGGTAAAACAAACAAACAAACAAACAAACAAAGAAAACCCCGGCACTCAGACATCCCTCTTATAATCCCGGGCTGCTGGCTCCTAATCGCTCACCTGTCTGCCTGCCTGGTGGCCCCTAACTGCCCCTCTTGCCGGTCTGGTCGCCCTTCACGCCCCCATCCATTCCCCCCCCCCCCCCCCCCCCGTCCTGGTCGCCCCATGCAGCCTGCTCTTCAGTCATTTGGTCGTCCCTCCCTAACCCCCTCCAGCCATCTTGTGAGGGCGTGAGGGTCCATTTGCATATCATCTCTTTATTCCATAGGATGGGATTGCTGACCGTTACCTCTCCCGCTCCCCCCTCAGTAAAAGAAGCAGGTGTCCATCATCTCACCTTTTACCCAATCCCAGGGATTCTCTGCTCTGCCTGCTCCCGCCTCTCTGGTCCGTCCCCCATGGACTTCCTGTCGCCCGCCCGCGTCCCTCCTCTGGTGGCGACGTGTGAGCGCAGAGGGAACCCCATTCTCCGAAGCCTCATCCCCACCCAGTGTGGCTCAGTGGATAGAGCGTCGGCCTGCGGACTGAAAGGTCCCGGGTTCGATTCCGGTCAAGGGCACGTACCTTGGTTGCGGGCACATCCCCAGTGGGGTGGGGTGTGCAAGAGGCAGCTGATGGATGTTTCTCTCTCATCGGTGTTTCTAACTCTCTCTCCCTCTCCCTCCCTCTCTGAAATCAATAAAATATATTTAAAAATAAAACAAAAAACAAACAAACAAAAAAACCACTCTCTGCAGGTGAGAGTGTTCTCGCACGTTAGCAGCTGCTTTTTTCGAATGATCCGGTCCGAGGGCCAGGGACGCCTCTGTGGCACACGGTCAAGCTCCCTCCCTCCCTCTCTCCCTTCTTCCCTCCCTCCCTCCTCCCTCCCTCTCTCCCTTCTTCCCTCCCTCCCTCCCTCCTCCCTCCCTCCCTCCCTTCCTCCCTCCTCCCTCCCTCAGGCTGCTCAGTTTTATTTCTCACCCCCCCCCCCCTCGTCCCTTCTCAAGTGGGTCCTAAAGTGCCAGGATGACCTATTTTAAATATATTTTATTGGTTTTGTACAGAGAGGAAGGGAGAGAGATAGAGAGTCAGAAACATCGATGAGAGAGAGTCATCGATCAGCTGCCTCTTGCACACCCCCTACTGGGGATGTGCCCGCAACCAAGGTACATGCCCTTGACCGGAATCGAACCCGGGACCCTTCAGTCCCCAAGCCAACGCTCTATCCATTGAGCCAAACCGGTCCCGGCTGGGATGATCTATTTTAAACTTACTGGCCGGTGCCTTTAAAATCGGGCCAGTGGGGCCCCCCCTGGCTGGTGTGGCTCAATGGGTAGAGCGTTGGCCTGCAGACTGAAGGGTCCCGGGTTCGATTCCTGGTCAAGGGCCCAGGCCCAGCTTGTGGGCTTGATCCCCAGTGTGAGGTGTGCAGGAGGCAGCCAATCCATGGTTCTCTCTCATCATGGATGTTTCTCTCCCCCCCCTCCCCCCTCTGAGATCAGTGAAAGAATGTATTTAAAAAAAAAAAAAAAAGGAGAAGTGAGCACAGTTCAGCGACGGATGCTTCCATCGCTTCCCCATAATTAACCGGTGAGGCCACGGGCCGGGCGGACGTGGCTGACCGTGACCTTCGTGTGTCCTCCGCCCAGCAGCCTGTTTACCCACCTCCTTCCCTCCACGTCAGCCCCTCCGTGCCCCCCGGCTCGGCTCTCACGTGGGGGAGGGGGTCCCTCCTCCTCCTTCAGCTCACTTTCCGTGACCTTGGCCATGGGCCTCTGTCCTGGGCCTGAAGGTTTTTCCATCCGGAACTTCTTATTGACTTGAGAGAGGAGGGCGGAGGGAGAGAGAGAGAAACATCTGTCTATATAAAAGGCTAATATGCAAAGCGTCCCCGCGGAAGTTCGGCCAGGAGACTGGGCGGTCAGTCTCTCGCTATGACGTGCACGGACCACCAGAGGGCAGCTCCGGTGTCGAGTGTCTGCCCCCTGGTGGTCCGTGCGTGTCATAGCGACCGGTCATTCCGCCAATGTGCATATTAGGCTTTTATTCTATAGGTGACCAGATTTGAACATGGGTAAAGCTGGACACCATTGAAGGGGGGGGGTTCTTGAATAAAAATTTGGTCTGTATGGAGCAACAAAAATTTTCATAGAATACAAAAATAGTATTGTAATATATATATTTTTTTTAAAAATTTCAACATAAGTACAACTTACAAATATGATAAATAAATAAAAATGATGTATAGTATTTTATTCTTTGGCACATTTCTCATTTGAGTGGATTCTAACAACTGATCAGCCATGCGAACTTTGATAACCAGTTCTCGATGATCAGTTCTCAACAGTTATTTGTTATGATTAAAGTTTAACGTTATAAAATTAACAAAAGTAATAAGAAACTCATATCCTGGCTTCACAGCCACACGGCCGCCGAAAGCCACCTATTCCCTTCCTACTCTCCCACCGTTCCCTAGCTTGTGCATTCTTTCCAGAAATCGAGACTTTAAAAAAAAACAAAAAAAAAAAACGCCGTAGGACATGGGACAAATTGTTAGAAATCGGGACATCTGGTCACCTTCTATAGACTGATGTCAGAGAGGAAGGGAGAGGGGGAAAGAGAGAGGAGAGAGAGAGAGAGAGAGAGAAACATCAATGAGGAGAGCGAATCACGGATCAGCTGCCTCCTGAACGCCCCCCCTCCCCGGGATCCAGCTACACCCGGGCCTGTGCCCCCGACCGGGAATCGAACCCTGACCTCCTGGTTCCTAGGTCCACGCTCTGCCACGGAGCCACGCCGGCCAGGTCCACGCTCTGCCACGGAGCCACGCCGGCCGGCCAGACACGTGGCTTCACGTGGCTTTGCTCTCTCTCTCTCTCTCTCTCTCTCTCTCTCTCTCTCTCTCTCTCTCTCCCCCCCACCTCGGTCGGCTCACGCGCCCCCTCTGGCTGCAGGTACGGCGTGAGCCCCGAGAACATCATCCTGTACGGGCAGAGCATCGGCACGGTGCCCACCGTGGACCTGGCCTCCCGGTACGAGTGCGCAGCCGTCATCCTGCACTCGCCCCTCATGTCCGGGCTGCGCGTGGCCTTCCCCGACACCCGCAAGACATACTGCTTCGACGTCTTCCCCAGGTGAGTCCCGCCCCCCCGGCCCGGCCCCCCAGCCCCCTCCTGGCCCGGCCCCACGTCCGGTCACCGCAGAGTGTCCCCGCGGCAGTCCGACCGGGAGGCCGGGAGTTCCGTCGCTCGCTATGACGTGCACGGACCGCCGGGGGGCGGCTCCTGTGTGGAGGGTCTGCCCCCTGGGGGTCAGAATGTGTCATAGCGACCGGTTGTTCGGCCAGTTTGCATCTTGGGCGTTTATTCTGTAGGACTGATGTCCGAGAGGAAGAGAAAGGGAAACATCTATCGCTATATATAAAAGGCCAGTGTGCAAAGTGTCCCCGCGAGAGTCCGACCGGGAGGCCGGGAGTTCCGTCGCTCGCTATGATGTGCACGGACCACCCGGGGGCGGCTCCTGTGCTGAGTGTCTGCCCCCTGGTGGTCCGTGGCGCCATAGCGACCGGTTGTCCCCCCCATGTGCACCTTAGGCTTTTATTCTGTAGGACTGATGTCCGAGAGGAAGGGAGAGGGAGAGGGAGAGAGAAACCAGGACACGCCCATGGGCCGAGGCGGGGGCCTTGGGGTGAGATCCGAGGGCCCTGTTCGCTCGGACCCGCCCCCGGGCTCTCCTCCCGCTGTCCGTGTGGGAGCTGGAGGGGGTCAGAGTTTGTGCACCCAGGGTGGCGTGTGCGACCCAATCGCCAAGAGCCACGGGCGTGCAGCGTGGTGAGGCGTGTGTGATTGTTCATCCTCACCCAGAGCCTTTCCATGGGCTGATTTCTTAAAATATGTTTTATTGGTTGTTTACAGAGAGGAAGGGGGAGGGATAGAGAGTTAGAAACATCGATGAGAGAGAGACATTGATCAGCTGCCTCCTGCACGCCCCCACTGGAGATGTGCCCGCAACCAAGGTCCATGCCCTTGACCGGAATCGAACCTGGGACCTTTCAGTCCGCAGGCCGACGCTCTATCCACTGAGCCACACCGGTAAGGGCTGGATTGATTTTTAGAGAGAGAGGAAGGGAGCAGGGGAGAGAGAGAGAGAAACATCCACGATGAGAGAGAATCATGGATCAGCTGCTTTCTACACACCACAGGGGAGGATTGAGCCCGCAACCCGGCCAGGTGCCCTGACCGGGAATCGAACCCGGGACCCTTCAGTCCGCAGGCCGATGCTCTACCCACTGAGCCACACCGGCCAGGCCCATAAACATACTGCCGTGGCTCCGATCACGGCCGGGGACACGGCCCAGGCGGGGCTTTGCCATCCTCCTGGCGTCTCGCTGGGACAGCTGCGTGCAGGTTTGGGGGTGACCTCAGCACCCCGCTATCTCGGGGCCTGGCGACGGGGTTATCTCCCTGAGCTCCGGTCCCTCCTGCTGAATAGGGGATCTTGCTTCTTGTCCACGTCCCAGTTCCACGTCCCACGAGGTTTTGTGTGCAAAGGGCAAAAGGCTCTTGGCTCTCGTCAATGTTTAACCACCCGAGCTATTGCTTTGAAGAGAAAAGTCTCTTAAGATGCCCAGCTCGGGCTGAGCATCAACCTAGGAACCAGGAGGTCAGGGTTCGATTCCCAGTCAAGGGCACAGGCCCGGGTGGTGGGCTCCATCCCCAGGAGGGGCCGTGCAGGAGGCAGCCGCTCCATGGTTCTCTCTCATCGTGGATGTTTCTCTCTCTCTCCTTCTCCCTTCCTCTCTGAAATCAATAAAAATGTATTTTAAATGATTTAAAAAAAAGAGTTTCTAGAAAAAGAGGAGGTTTGTGATGCTGTCCCTGAAGAGTCCTCTCCCCCCCCCTCCCCTTCCCCGCAGCATCGACAAGATCTCCAAGGTGACCTCCCCGGTGCTGGTCATCCACGGCACGGAGGACGAGGTCATAGACTTCTCGCACGGCCTGGCCATGTACGAGCGCTGCCCGCGCGCCGTGGAGCCGCTGTGGGTGGAGGGCGCCGGGCACAACGACATTGAACTCTACGCCCAGTACCTGGAGCGGCTAAAGCAGTTCATCTCCCACGAGCTCCCCAACTCCTGAAGGCGCCCGCGTCCCCCCGCAGTGACGGCGAGCACAGCCCTCCGCGCCCCACGCGCCCTCCCCGGGAGCGGCCACGGTCACGGCCACGGACAGGGCCACGGTCACTGCCACGGACAGGGCCACGGTCACTGCCACGGACGGGGCCACGGTCACTGCCATGGACAGGGTCACTGCCACGGACAGGGTCACAGTCACTGCCATGGACAGGTTCACTGCCACGGACAGGGCTACGGTCACTGCCATGGACAGGGCCACGGCCAAGGCCACAGCCACAACCACAGTTGTGGCCACGGACGAAGGCCACGGCCACGGTCAGGGCCACAGCCACTGTCACGGCCTGGGCCACTGCCACGGACAGGGTCACGGTCACGGCCACAAGCATGGCCACGGTCACGGTCACGGCCGGCGACAGGGAGGAAGCACCCGGCCTGGACACGAGCGACCTCATCCGAGAGCCAGGGAGGCCTCGGCTGCGGAGCTAGAGAATTTCTAATTCACACGCCTCCCGACACGGACCTGCTGTGGCCCCCGGCCTCGTGGCCTCGTGGCCTCGTGGCCTCGCGGGGGTGGGAAGGGAGGCTGGCGGTGCCGGGTAAGGATGCTCCCAGCTGCGTCTCTCCTCTACGCATCACTCGGGGTTCATTCAGGCAGAACCCCCCTTCCCCGTCCACCACCCCCCCCATGTCGTCCGCATTTCCGGGGTCTGTCCGTGGGTGGCGCCGTGCTGGAGCTACTGGAACGCCGGTGACAACACTCCCTTAACCGTTTTCCTTTTTTTCTCTTTGTTCATCCTCGCCCGAGGATATTTCCGCATTGGTTTTTAAGGAGAGCGGGAGAGAGAGAGAGAGAAAGAGAGAGAGAGGGAGAGAGAGAAGCATGAATGTGGGCCGGGGAGGAGCCTGCCACTGAGGTCTGTGCCCTTGACCTCAGGGAATTCGAACCCGGGACCCTTTGGTCCGCAGGCCCAGGCGCCGCCCACTGAGCCACACCCTCTGGGCCCTTCACTTCCATTAACGTGTTGACCTCCTCCCCCCCCCCCCCTCCCGCCCCCAAACTGGATCCCCGGAAGGGCCATCCGCTGGATCCGCCCTGGCCAGCTTCCCCCACTGGAACCACGGAGCGAACACTGGAATATTCTTACACGGAGTATTTTTTTTTTTTCTTCTGTTTTCTGATTTGTTATTTTTTTTTTTTCTTCCCCTCACGTGTCCGCTTGTTACCCGTCCACAGACATTTCCTATGTCGATGGTCGGGGTGGCCTAACGGCTCCGTGGCCCCTCGCGTGTGGCTCTCCCACAAAAGGGCACGGCCTGGGCGCGTCTGTGCGGGAGACGTGGAGCTGGAAGAGGCTTCGGTTTGAAAAATTCGCCTCTCCACAGACATGTCAGTCGTTGCGCTGCTGGCATGTGGCTCTGTGGACGGATGGGTCCGCCGACCCCTGGCCTGTGGGTACCTGCTGTGACCTTCTGCATCCGTTCGATTCCCCCTCAGGGCACAGGCCCCGGGTTGCGGGCTCCATCCCCAGCAGGGGGGCGTGCAGGAGGCAGCCGATCCATGTTCTCATTCGTCATGGATGTTTCTCTGCCTCTTCCTCTCCCTCCCCCCCCCCGCCGCTGACATCAATAATGGGTGTCGGTTCCCGCCCCCGCGCCTGCCCCCTCAGAATCACCCGTGAACCGCAGATCCCTCCTTTATAATAATGTAAACGCTCGGGTACATTTTGTTAATAGGTTTCTATTCCTCGGTTTTGCTATTAAAAAGATTTTTTATACCATTTCCAAGACGACAAAAAAAAAAAAAACAAAAAAAAACGGAAAAAGAAGAAGAAAAAGAAAAAGACCATTTGACGCATTGAAGAATCGATTCCCCTGAAATTTCCGGAATCTTCTGCGCCCGGCGGGGATGTGGCTGCCCGGCAGGCCTCGGGACGGGGTGTGTGGGCTTGGAGGGGTGCTGGGGGGTGGTGGTTTCGTTTTGGGTTTTTTTTGTTGTTGTTGTTCCTCTTTTGTTTCTCAAATGTAAAAGCCTTAAACGTGTGGTCAGCCTCCGGCCGCTGTCAAAATCGGCCGCAGCTCAGCGGTGGCCGCTGGTCACGGAATAAAGGATGCATGGAACGGAGTCCGGGGCCGTGGCCGTGTTTTCCTTCTCCCCCTCCGAGAGATGCCCAGCGCGTCCGGTCTCCTGGTCCGAGGAACCCCGTGGGGCTCACACACTTCGCTGCCTCTCTCTCTCTCTTTTTAATTTATTGTTGTTTTTTTTTTACAGAGAGGAAGGGAGAGGGATAGAGAGAAACATCGATCAGCTGCCTCCTGCACACCCCCTACTGGGGATGTGCCCGCAACCAAGGTCCATGCCCTTGACCGGGATCGAACCCGGGACCCTTCCGTCCCCAGGCCGACGCTGTCACCACTGAGCCACACCGGTGTCGGGCCGTTTATGCAGTGCAGACGGAGTTTGAGCCTCTGCGGGTCAGGGGGCGGTTTGCCTATCAGCCTTCGGTGATACCGGATAATGGACGAGGCCAAGGAGCACGGGATACGGAGGGAGGGTTCATAGTCCATCACCGTCCGTCACCGTAGAAACAGCCACAGGAGCACGGCAGGCCACAGAGACGGGTAAGGACATTGCGTGTCACAGGAAAAGGTGCAGCAACTGATTCCCAGAGCTGTTCAGGTTTGGAGGAGGTTACTGCCCATCAGGCTTAAGCAAGCAACCTATGCATATCCTTTCTTAAAAAAAGGTTAATATTGCCGAAACCGGTGTGGCTCAGTGGATAGAGCGTCGGCCTGCGGACTGAAAGGTCCCGGGTTTGATTCCGGTCAAGGGCATGGACCTTGGTTGCAGGCACATCCCCAGTGGGGGGCGTGCAGGAGGCAGCAGCTGGTCGATGCTTCTCTCTCATCGATGTTTCTAGCTCTCTATCCCTCTCCCTTCCTCTCTGTAAAAAATCAATAAAACATATTTTAAAATAAAAAAAAATGAAAATAAATTTTTTTAAAAAAAGGCTAATATGCAGTTTGTCCCCTGGGCCGGGAATTTGACCAGGGGGTGGGGCTGGCCAGACCCCCCCACCCCCATGCATGAATTCATGCACCTGGCCTCTAGTATCAAATAAACAGATTTAAACAAGATTCTTCATCATCATCACTTTCAGGCGTTCCTCTCTGAAATCAATGAAAAAAAATATATATATTTTTTAAAAAAGCTTGCCAGGCCTAACCAGTGTGGCTCAGCAGTTAGAGCATTGGCCTTAGGATGTGCCTGCAACCAAGGTACATGCCCTGTACCGGAATCGAACCCGGGACCCTTCCGTCCACAGGCCGACGCTCTATCCACTGAACCACACCAGATAGGGTGGGACATGTTTATTGATGAGAGCGAGACATCAGAGTGAGAGAGAAACATCTATCAGCTGCCTCCTGTGCATGAACTGAACAGGAATCGAACCCACAATTTTTTAAAATATATTTTATTGATTTTTTTTTTTACAAAGAGGAAGAGAGGGGGATAGAGAGTTAGAAACATCGATGAGAGAGAAACATCGACCAGCTGCCTCCTGCACACCTCCTACTGGGGATGTGCCCGCAACCAAGGCACATGCCCCTGACCGGAATCGAACCCGGGACCCTTGAGTCCGCAGGCCGACGCTCTATCCACTGAGCCACACCGGTTTGGGCACTTTACGCTTTCGCTGCTCATTTTAGTGCGCCCATTTATCGTTATCCTTTATTCAAATGACGGTGTCGCATTCCACAGCAGGGAACATCACATCATTCAGTCGGCCCCACAACCAGGCACGTGGGTGGCTTCCTTTTATTTATTTATTTATTTATTTATTTTTTTATTTTATTTCTTTCCTATGACCAACAGGGTTGCAGTGGATAACGTTGTCGCTTCACGCCTGGTGCCAACACGTCTGTAGGATAAGTGATTGGGTGTGGAATTCCTGAGTCAGGCATTTCCCCACATCCTGGCAACACGCCCTCCGAGGCGGACCCATTTACACGTGTGCCCGTCAAGTATGAGGGCGGGTGCTCGGCTCCCCGCCCTCGCCCCCCGCAAAGCGGGGGTGGGGGGTCATCCAACTCTTGGGGTTTTGCCAATGGGTTGCATAGTTTAGTGTAGTATTTTTTTAAAAAAATATATATATATTTGATTGATTTTTTACAGAGGGAGAGGGAAAGAGAGTTAGAAACATCCATGAGAGAGAAACATCCACCAGCTGCCTCCTGCGCGCCCCCCACTGGGGATGTGCCCGCAACCAAGGTCCATGCCCTTGACCGGAATCGAACCCGGGACCTTTCAGTCTGCAGGCTGACACTCTATCCACTGAGCAGCACCGGCCAGGGCTGTCTAGGCATAGTATTAATCTGGATTCCTCTGTGTGCAGAGCTGAGCCTCTTTGCAAATGTTTAGGAACCACTGGATTCTCTTCCCCCACCCCCATCCCCGAAATTCCAGGTGTAAGTATTCTGTTTTAACTAAAAAAAGTCAGAAACATCGATGAGAGAGAGGCATCCATCAGCTGCCTCCTGCACGCCCCCCACCGGGGATGTGCCCGCAACCAAGGTCCATGCCCTTGACCGGAATCGAACCCGGGACCTTTCAGTCCGCAGGCCGACGCTCTACCCACGGAGCCACTGGATTCTCCCCTCCTCAGCTGAGTGCTCACTCATTCCCAGTGTGGATCCCGCCTGCTCACCCACGGGGTCGGACTCTGTAGGAGTGGCCTCAAGGGCCCTGCTCCCCCACCCCCCGTCCCCCGCCAGTCCCAGGTGTGTAACCTGGGGAGGAGAGTTTTGAGCCAAACATCCAACTATTTTGAAAAATATAATTTTTTTTATTGATTTCAGAGAGGAAAGGGGAGAGAGAGGGAGAGAGAGAGAGAGAGAACCATCCATGAGGAGAGAGCATCATGGATCGGCTGCCTCTTGCACACCCCCCACTGGGGACTGTGCCTGCAACCCGGGCAAGTGCCCTTGATTGGAATCGAACCCGGG